AATAACTGGTGGTAAAATTAAACCGACTCAAACAGTAAGCTTGCGGAAAATGAGGGTACCCAGCAAAAGTGTACACGAATGTATTATTGAGTGATAAGTAACCGTGATGACGCAATACTAGAAATGTTTACCATTGCGTTGTGTATAGATTAGAAAAACCCGAGACGCAAATAGTCATAAAAAGTCATAAAATGAATAACAAGAAGTCTATATCAACACCTCTTTAAATTTTAAAATAACCTTCAGAATTTATTTTTGGAGCAAGCAATGGGTATGACATTTTAACAGGTTAAGGTAATACTACACACTCTCAGGAGGTAGGAATATCATAATTTATGAGAAACCTTAGTAGTAATCAATGATCTTAGACAACATAACCTTCACATTTTAAAACTAAATAGAAATTCATAATACTATTCAGCTTCTAAAATACTACGAATGCATTTAATATATATTTTTTCTTTTAAGATAACCAGTATACATATATATGAATTCTTTATTGCACTGGAACTTCAACTTTTATCCCAAAAATTTAATCAGGAGGGAACAAACCGAGCTCAGGTAGCTCAATTAATTAAGCAGAGAAAATACTTTTCTTTTCAATTATTGCATAAATATTAAATAACAAATATTTCACAAATATCAAATAAAAAATACAGAAAATTTGAAATAAACAATTTAATAATGCTCGTTTAAATATTAACCCTTTATTGCATCATGTCTACTCAAGCAGACAAAAGTTTAAATTTGTTTGTTCTTCTGTAAATGCCTTAACATATTCCATTCCTGTGTTTATTTATTCTATATTATTAGAACTTTCAACTGTCGATCATAGATGTCTGTATAGCATCACTAAGTAAAGCAATGCTATTTGGAAAATGGCTGCTACTTCTGTTTCCAAATTAGTACATAGCAAACATTATATAATATTGCTTACATTTCCTTATACTTGCCATTTTTTATACATAATTAGTAATTTTAGTCATTTTATTTTAAATGTCAGTGTGAGAAAATTGTGGAGTGAGTAGATAAAGATCTACCGAAAAGAGTGAATTGAAACCCAAATGTACTGCTTATCAAGCCAAAACACCCCTGGAAATGTTTATGTTCGGCAAGGAATTTTTGAACATTTGACATTTGAATCCAATAGGTACAGGTTACAAAATCGTAGCAAAATGAATTCAATCACAATCGACGAAACGAAGTTTTTGGGTGATCTGTATGTACATGTCAGTTGTATATTTACCATTTAGAAGATGGTAATGATCACTGCAAACAAAGCAGAAATGATTTCAAATGCAATGACCGTAAATCGTTGGGAAGAGATTTGCATGCATGTACGTATATGCATGCTGTCTACTGTAGTGAACAAACTGTAACAATTATTTAAAACGAAATTTGAATAAAATTATTTTTTTTATTATTACTGTTAAGTAGAAAAATACAAACATTTTCGTTTAACTTCTCTAGATTATTTGGATGCAACAAAGGGTTAAGCGATAACTTGAATTGCGCGAGCATCTGCTACCTAAAGAAAATATTGCATTAAACGGGGTATGCGGTCACGCATCGATAACCGGGATCCAAAATATGATTTTACTTCCATGCTATTGCAAAAAATTCATTCCAAGGCTTAATATTTTACCTTTTTATCTTATACCTTAACTTTTTACCTTGAACTTAAAGGGAACAAATATTGACATTAGTTTTCAGCTTTTACAAATTAGCCTAGTTAAGAAAAATAAAAAGCTTATCTGTGTCAACTCTTTAGGAAGACTGGGTTCTCCAAAATGGTGGAACAGGAACGGATGCCAAGTATCCTTCTAAGACGAAAACTCCTGTCAGCCGTCTCAACAACACGGAGAGATCACAGGTAGGAACGGATGGTAAATTTCCTTCGAAGACAGAAACTCATACCGGCCGTCTCATCAACACGGAGACATCACAGATTTACTCCTTCACTCCTGACAAACTGACATGAAAAGTCGACCGCTGGGATGATTCAGGCAAAAGGCTGTCGGTCGCAATATTTTCGGAAGAAAATTGCCAATTATTCGCGAAGAGATGAAAAACTCTTAAGCGTCATTTAGGAAGGAAATGTAGTGAATATTAAAGTGGTTAAATAGTTACACCAACTATTTCTGCATGGAGAGTATAAAATAAAACTTCACTTAAGTACATTCGTCTATCGTATTACACCTGCTGAAAAAGCTTTTCGTTGCGCGACGAAAAACACCCCTAAAACAAAGAACTTCTATGTAAAGATGGAAAGGTTCCATAGACGTAATTGTAAACCAGTTAGCTATTACGCCGCTGCAAAGCGAAAGGGAAATTCGTCAAGGGATTTGGCGACGGAACCTGGCGGCGAGAATTCCCCATCCGCGATCTGTACAGGAAGTTGAGGAATACGTCTTAAGAAGGAACGTTCTTTGACAAACGTTTCTCTGATATTTCGAGATAATTTAAACTCGGATATTTTTTAATTTAATTTAATTTTATTTTTTGCTCAAACTAACTAATCCATTAATTAATTTGCTTGCGAGAAGAAAATATTTGCCTTTAAAGTTTACATAAACTTAAAACGATATTCTTTTATGAACTCTTGATAAACGTGACCTTCGAACTTCGACGCCAGCTTCGAGCTTTGGCGACAGATATTTTGCGCATGCGCAGCTGTTTTCCTCTATGCTGGGAAGGAGCCACTCCTGTTGCGGAGTTTTCCTTTATAACAATACATATTCTTTGCCTAAAACGTCAAGAAGAAAAACAGTACAAAAAATTCCACTTTTCCCCTTATTAGTTCAACAAAATTCATACATTAACCCCTCTCCCGACTCGCCTAGTGATCATGAGAATGCAGCAACCCCTTTTTCCGAGCAAATTCACCCCTCCTCAAGACATGATATTGAAAGTGACCTTTCGAATTCTACGACACGTACACCGCTAAAACTAATTTAACACCCAGCAAAATTAACCAGATTACAGAATTTAGATAATTAATTGGGCATAACTCCAATTCTAATAAACATATCTTAAAAAAGTAGGCTTGTTAGAAGGGTAAATTATTTCTGCTTAAGTAGTATAAGTTTCAAATGCAAGCAATCATTGACACAGGACTACCGTGTTTCCAGCAGAAGGTGGGCACAGGACCCTCTAAGATGAAGACGAGATGAGTGGAGCAATGCGTTCTTCTCAGACGAGTCCCGCTTCACTGTACATTCTGGCAATAGGTGATATCTCATCTGGGGAGAACCTTATAAACGGAAAACTCCTGTATTTGTGCATGAAATTATCTGAACTATTTGTAGTATGATTCTGATGTCAAATATATAAATATTTAATTAAATTGTAGAATCCAGTATATAAACTTCTTTATGAAAACGGAGTAGCAGGAAACTACACGAGAAAAGGGTTAAAGTTCCATTTATTAAATCTTTGAAAATTTACAATGCATCAATTCGACGCTAACAAACTTCACCCCTTCTTGGGCGGTAACTGAAAATTAAGTAAAGAAACTAAATTTTGAAGATATTGGCAAATGATAGAACTAGACTACAGGGCTTAGATCCCATAACTTAAACCCCTTTCGACGCTAGTGCCAGCAAATAAAAATGCAATTAAGCCACCTGAACCAGCCTAACTATCTCCTTCTCCTACCGAAACTCGGCTTTTAAATACTTCCTTCAAAGTAGAAATTTGTATTCCTTCACGCGCGCTACACCATTTAACTATTATGGCACTGACAATTAGGGAAATGAAGGCTTGTAGAAAAGTCTGAACTCTAAATTGTTAGTTAAAATATATATAAATCCATACAAAATATTCCAAATTTTATGTTCTTTGGCTAATTTCCTTCTGTAATTTCCTTCCATATACTGAGAAAATCCTGTGCAATGAATGAAAATTTTTATTTATCAACGTAGTTTTAAATATGATGAAAATAAAATCTGTAGATGTATAGATGTCTAAATAAATTTAGTAATATACAATATATATATATAAACAAAATTTAATACAAATAGTGAATTATAAAACATGGGTTGAATCTTAATAAAACGTTCTACATATGTTTACAATAGATTAAAACAATTCAGATCAAATAAAATCTAAAAAAGAATAATTAGTATATCAATTAAGTATATCAAGAGGTGAATAGAATTTTTGCAATTTAAATTTTGTTAATTCAATAAATTTCACTTATTCCTAGAAAACATTTTTCTCATCAGTTTCTTTAGTGATAGGTAAAAATTAAAAAACTTGAGATTCGGCGATCTTACAAGAGACCGGAAGATCTGACGAAAATTTGGAAGCATGCGTTTTTAAAACTCCAACACTTATTCGGAGAATTATAGACAAGTTGGGCCATATGTATAGTAAATATTTAGAAAAATTCCATAACAAAACATACTCTACCTAACATATTTCAAGATTAACAAATTCATTCTCTTTAATTTAGAAGTCAAACAACAAAAATCAGCGTAATATTTTTCAAATTTTCACAGGACTAGTTTCGATGGTTTTACCGAACCATCATCCTTAGCTGTAAAAGCGCAAATGGCTGGTCATTTGCAATACATAAGATAAGAGCCAAACGTAATGCAGTAAAAGAGCTCAACCCTTGACTATAGCTTAATATTTTACTGATTTAATAATAGAAATATTATTTTGCAATTAAATGCAAGAAATCTTTTGAAAAAAACAGAATTGAATTCATGCGCAATTCAACTGCACAAAAGCAAATGAGTATAAATTTTTCCAATGTATTTCATGTTTTTTAATTAACTGATAAATGATTACTGAAAAATATACGAAGGCAACTTAAGCATTAAAAATCCGAAAACTAATAAAATTTAACCCAACGCTTCTGACTAGCTCTTATACTGCTAATTTAACATTTAATAGAATTTTAAAATTATGTAGTTAGTTATTACATATCATTATTTAATTAACTATTAATTATTTAAAGTCATTCTGCAGAATATGAATAAATAAATTCTCACTCAATAATGTTCTTAAAAACTTCAGGCGATATTCCACTTATCTGGATTTGCTTTACTGGTTCTGTAATTTCTGGAAGTTCGTCTTGACTTTTAAACAGCATCTGCGCGAAGTATTGGCTTCCTGCAGCAAGAATAGCTTTATGCGCATAAAAGGTAGAATTTGATTCAGTATCATACTTAATGAAGAATGTAACATCCGTGTATAGTTGCTTATAGTAAAGGTGTGCAATTCGCTGCCTAATATCATATCTGCCCGACTGTTCATGCCCTAGAAAAGAGGAAAAGCCTAAGAAATATTCATCGAATAGTTTAACCAAGAGTAATTTCGTTAATCATGTTCATTAAGATCAATAAAGATAAAAATTCATTCACTTAACATTTTCTTTTTCTTTTAAATACTTAGACACGAAATGCTAGACATCATAACACCCAAAAGTTGCATGTTGGTTGCCTAAACCCCTATCACATTATGTTTCCGCTGCGCGGGACTGGACATCGAAAGGGACAATTCTCAGAACCCGCACATTTCCAGGAAACGCACGTAGCTAGGTTACAGTTTTCACTTATTACAAAGACGAAAACCCGAAACAGTAATCAATTATCTCTCAGATTGTGACCACGTGACCCTTCAGAAACAGAACATTCGTCTGATTAGTTATTCTCGACGCGGGACAGAGCAGCAGCCGAAATATTTTCAGCGACGTTTCAAAAAATCCCGCGTAGCCGGCACATCATTTCCGTACCTAAGCGGGACTTCGCTTCCAGTAGGACCAATTTTCTAGGAATCCTCCCGTTTAAACCAGTACTACCAGAATCTCTTTTCTCAGAAAAGTCGCGTCTAGCAGGGACTATCGCTAGATGTGAGAAGTGTTTATAAGAAGCTTCAAGTGAGCTCTAGATTGAGTTACGGTCGGATCCCTCAATACTGACAAGCAGTTTTTCCGATTAAAACGCATAATCCCTAAATTAAATCGGAGAAATTCATGTGTTTGTCGATTGGAGATAAGGAAAAAGGACCTCGATTGAACAGTCCATGTTCTGCGTACGTTGGAGCAAGTGACCAGCGAAAATCAACGAAATAAATGAAGTAAGTTGATGGTATTAACATTTTATTCTAATTTTCAACTTCTGCTTGGTAAAAGTAATACTATTCTTTTACAGATATTGTTTGGCAGACTAACTTTGTTGATTCTTGGACCGCAGAGGAACCTTCTAGAATTTCTAAAATCTCTATATATACACTCACGTAAGAAATTTAGAGAATTTTCATATTTCATCTACGATCTCCAGAACTACTGGACAGATTTAAATAAAATTTGCTGTGAACATAGCTTGATATAATACAAACAAAATAAACATCCAACAGTTATAATCGACACACATGTTGGTGTGTAACACACATGGGAGTCTGAAGGTCTGAAACAGCGGTTGCAGAAGACGCAAACAAAATGGATTAATATAGGGTATGGTACCCTCTTACAGCCATACAGGCATCGCAGTGTGATGTTATACTGGAAATAAGGGAGTTTATGTGCCTTTGGCAGTTGGTCCCTCTCATTCAGCAACGCAGTTTTCAACTCCTGGATGTTTCTCGGAGGAGGGTTGCGAGTTGAAATTGACGTCCCTAGAGCGTCCCAGACATGCTCTTTAGAGCTGAGGTATGGAGACTTGGCTGGCCATCCGGCGAATATCCTCACTCTCGAGAAATTCATTGACCAGAAGAGCTCTATGTGGCCTCGCGTTATCGTCCTGTAAGATGAACTTGGCGTCCACTGAACCCCGTAAAAGGCGAACATAGGGCTTCATCCCTATACCTCCCACCAGTCACGGAGCCTCTGTCAGACGTGGAGAGGTGTGCGGCTATCCAACATGATGCCTGCCCAGGCCATTACATCGCCACCACCATAATTTCTCGGACGTTGGAGGGTAGGTAGCGGCTCTCTCCATATGAAAGAATCGGCGAGAAACGGTGTTTAGGCTAAAACGGGACTCATCGGTGAACGGAACGGTCGCTCATTGCTCAGTACTCCAATCACTATGGTGGCTGAAAATGCTAATCGAACTCTCCTGTCCGTAGACGTCAGCGGGACGCAAACAGCCGGTCTTCTGGCAAACAACCCTCTATCATCCTGTCTTTTGGAAACAGTCACCCTTGTTACACGGGTTCCTGTGACTGCATACAGGTCCCCAGAGAGCTGAAAAGCTGTAGCCCCTCTGTAGCGTCGCTAAAATGGAAGCTGTAGCCTCGCTAAAATGGACAAATAGCGATCTTCTCTGGCCGTCGTGGCTTTGGTCGACCTTGCCCACGCTTTCTCTCAATAGATCCAGTATCCTTGAACTGTTTTCATAGGTTACACACGACGCTGGGCGTTAAATTAAACTCTCTGCATATCTGGACTTGCGATTGGCCTGTCTGTAGCCTCCCCACAATTCGCAACCTCATTCCATCATCTAAACGTTGGTGGTTACTCATTTTTACTATTCCGATGTGAATTTAACCGATGGGTGCAAGATAACAGCAAGAAATTCCTCGAGGTGTTCTAGCGAACGCAATTAGTCTTGCTTACCACGCGCTTATGAAGCCTGTTTTTCTGCTGACTATGCCTACACACATGTGTACGCTTACGTATTTGCCGTACAAGATTTGCATTTTTATCTAGAAGAAGTGTTTTTTCCTTCAGTTAAGTTATTTTCATGCAATTTGATAAAATATGCAAATTGACTTAATTTATTTCACCAGTGTGTGTGTGTATATATATATATAGCAGAACTGATATATGTAAAATAAAAATCAGTGAAAGTACTCTTTGATAAATTTAGAGGTTAATAATATTATTGAAAATCAATAGTAATTTTAAAATTTATGAGGTTACCGAACAAGTGTTCTAATTCTATAAAACGGTATGATATTTTTACAGTAACTTTCAGACAGTATATTGTTAAATTAATAATAATATTAAGTAATGAAAGCAACCAGCATACTTTATGATTTACAGTTACAATAGAAACTAATACTAGGAAGAAGAAAAGAATTACAAATGAGTTAAATGCAAAATAAAGTTAGGAAACTGTAGCGAAGAAAAATTTGATGATGATACCATGATAATTTCCTCTTCTTTATAATTTTACGAAAATTAATTTGTAGTGTGTCTTATGTTAATCAATAAGTTATTATAATTTCCGTCTTTACTACAAATTCCCTTTTCCGTACCAGAATACAAATTAGTTGTGATTATTTAAGCTGAGGATTTTTGATTTCAGAGAGAGAGTATTTCTGGGATTTGCACGCTACTTGATTAGTTTCTAACCACTCTAGCAGTTATAAGTATTATAATTTGTTCATTGCATTACTCTCAGATTTAACAAACATAAAAGTGTTTCCATTTATCTGAGCAATCCTATAAACGAAAGAATAAATATCATCTTATGTATGTGTACTTATTGATCCAGCTCCTAGCTTAGTAATTAATTGGATAGTCTTTAACTAGTGTTCGCGTCTATATATCATTTGCTTTCTTCATCTTTATTTAAATTAAGTTCAAAACTTCTTAAGGATATTTATCAAAGAATCAAACGAAAGCATGTGAAAGATCACTTAGCATTAGGCTAAAGAAGGGAAAAGGAAAATTTCACTGATTATTTATTTTTTCAAGAAAATAGCAGAAACTGGCAGGCAGCTTTATTTGAAAACATTTCATGCACTTTAAAGCAAAATTGAGTAAATCAAAGTAAAATCTGTGTCAATATCATTAAACTATACCTAAACTTATTTATCAATAAGTTTGATTTGTGAAACATGTTTTCAGAATTCTCCTGTGCAGTTTTTTACTCTCAATACATATAATTGTGCGGAGAAAAATAGTTTGCGGCACTGCGCAATTTTTGTCGGATAAGCTGGCACCGCGAAGTCCCCAACATGCTGTATTATATGAATTCGGCTGCACCTGAAAATGAAGAAAAGGGAGAAAAGTACCTGTAATTTCAAATATCCCTAAAGATTTCAAAAGTCGCGAAAATTTTTGATTGTAAAATAAGTATTAAGTATTTGGACAACTGAATTTAAATAACAATTTGGGTTTTAATTTGCATCTTTACGTGCTTAACTACGTAGTTCGTTCTCTCCGGGTGGTTATGTAGATTTTCGTAACGAGCATAAGAGTATAAATAGGCTAACAGGAACCGTGGATTTTGTTTTTTTCTGTCTGAAGAACTTTAGTTAGAGTCTGAGCCTAAGTATCATAGAACGAACTAATGAATAGAGCTCCGAGTAAATAGCTGCTGGTGAATGTTACTGTTTAATCCCTGCCGGTATAGTTGATTCCAGATAAGTTCTATCTAAAACGGTAAGCTAAGGTTGAAAGTTTATCACGTGAAAGTTAGATAGAATTGTAATTCCTCCCAAAAGAATAACTGAGTTTTGAATTTTTATCTTGAAAAGAATGTTCAGTCAAGCAGACTGTCACCTGAATTTTTTATGTTAATCCTCAAGTAGAGACTCAAATAGACTTTAAAAGATTCTGTGACTTCAAAAGACTCAAATAGACTTTAAAAGACTCTGTGACTTCAAAAGACTCAAATAGACTATGTGTTCTTGTTGACATGAACTTTGAAATTTCATTCCCATCATGATAACTCGTGTCTGGAAATTTATTGGCACCTAATACTTAGAATCTGCAAAGGTAACTGTAAAGTTACGAACCCATGCACTCACAAAATCTAACAGTAGGTGACATAATATAAAAGATTTTCCTAATTTCAAAATTGATTTGTTTTAGTCACACAACGTGTTATAATTAATGCTTAAAAAGTAAAATAATTTTATGCCAGTACTAATCTAAGCTTTAATTACATAAAGAACCTAAAGTTATGTTTTACCAGAATAGTTTGGAGTAATGTGACATTGCTAATGCTTTTTTATGCTCAGATAGATTTCTATCTATATTATGTGATTTATTATGCTTTTAAGATTAAATGTCTATTTTTGTTTGTTTATTTTTAATGATCGTTGATTAATGATCAAGTTATAATTAAACACATCGTCTGCTTAAAATTAAGCATTAAATCAATTAAATGTTTTATTTTACACAAGGGAATTATTATAGGTAGAACTAAAAAACCTGCAAGGGGATTATGCCCAACACCTATACAAAGTAGTAATTTAATGAATTCTTTTCTCTGTCACAGTGCTTTTAATCTTACCAAGCATTCTGGCATTATTCATCCCTCTGAAACATTTTGTGTCCGTAATGTACACACGGTTACTTTAAA